AATGGTTATTATTGATGAAATTTGAGTTCTGATCTCTTACTTCCTTAATGTTTTTTCAAGAAATCGGTGTTATAATAGGGAAAATTGATGCTGATCTATTTGACTGGCATATTGTGCATTTATGATTTGAAGGGTGGACTGGTCTTTTATTCTTAAAATGTGGCTTCTTCAATAAGAGCTTTGGTCTGATTAATGTGGGACAGTCAACTAAGAAACACATGTTCTGTTTAATGTTATAAATACCTACAGCATCACCTATGTGACTAATGGTGCATCTGGGGTTACTAGTCCCCATAAAGCGACTGACCATATGGTATGTCAAAAATGTGTTTCGGGTTGTATGTTAGATTATAATAATGTTCTTATTTTAATATCAGTTATTTGATGCCATCTACAATCGGATCAATGGATGTGATGAGACCTGTCTCCAAAATATGTGAATCATAGTATCATACATATTTGTTTTCAATAGTAGGGAGACTGAATTTAGACTGAATGATTGTGATCAGTCACAATTAGGCTTTTCCATGTGCCATGGCTCTTCGTGGCAGTGAGTTTCTAAATGTGTCTTCCTCCCCACCGTCTTTCTTTTCAAATATCAACATGATTAGTGGGTTTAATATTTGGGATTTGATTCCTTTAAAATTAAAAGTTCACCTCAAAGAGAAAAGCATGGAGTTACAATCATTTATTGGAAAACCTTGGGTTAAAATGTTCGTATGTATTTATGAATAGAATGACTATTGAATTTGGTTATTTTACTGTGCCTCCCACCCAAAATTTGCAGCATACCCAATATCATGTAAATAAAATAATGGCTACCAGCATAGTTAATTGTAATGCATACCCTTTTGGCTAGACAAACTGTTGATTCCAGCGGAGAAATTGTAGGTTTTGACTAAGTTCTACCTTTGTTCTTCTAACAGTTTTGTATATTGATTCATCCAAATTATACCTATTCAACTGTCATAAGCTCAGAAATCATATTTCGACACTTGCATGTGTACAATAAAAACTGTAAAGGCTTCAATGTTTCTGTTTTACAAATTTGCATGCAAACATATAATACAGATTATAGCACAATTGGCATCAACAAGATTTTGTATTCTATTTATTGAACAAGTTTACCAACTACCTGGTGATTGTTATTGTCTCGGTGACTGGCTGTGGTTGATCTTTACTCCCTAGCAAATTATGTGAGTTTAATCCCTGTGATCTGTACCCTGACAACCAGTAAGGTAGCAAGACAAGTTCATGGATGTGCTGTGGTCTAGGCTGTCGAGTGACAGCTATTTTTTACTGAAGTGTTTCCTTCTTTTTTAATTAAAATTAACATAATAAGTATTATGATGACCATCAACAGGCTACAGTTGTTGCAAATATCGCCTAGATTGGTCATGTCTGGACCATGTTTAATTATTTTAGGAAGTTTCCTTTAAAATTGTGTCTCCCTGCTAAATTTCCCTTTTTTCCATGTCCTCCTAGGTGTTAGCCGCATGGCACTGTCAGCATGAAGTAAACTGTCGGAAGATGTTAAATTCAATTATGTCCAGCAAGCTTCACTTGAATTTGAGGTTTAGGAGATCAAAACTAGTCTTCCCATCAAACATTATGTTCTCTAGTAAGGTATTCAGTTAGACCTTGATTTTCATTCTCACTAAGTTCGTTAATTAGTCTTAAAAATTTGGCCTTAAAAACAATCTATTTTCTTGGTAGTTAAAATTCAGCTGCCTACATACATCAAGTCTCTATCACCACCAGAATTGGATGTCCTGTGAAACAGTGGCTCATAGTCATAGACTCATAGGTGGGTCTCGGCCGATTTTTCTTCCAATAGATTTAAACAACCTTGTACCTTTCAGAGTTCAGACATTCTAGACGCTTATGGTCTTCTGTCCTTCTCTTTAATTTCATTGTCAAGACTCAAATGATCAGTTTGTCAACCCCAGCATCATTAACCCAAATGGCCATGATGAAAGTACTAATACTAGGTAATTGTTCTCATTTTCTCATTTCTGTGGACTAGGATCTCCCTCCGTTGTAGAACGATAACTACAGATACAAAATTTGCATAGGTTTAACGTACAGGTAGGTAATAAAAATATCACATAATGAATTGAATTTGTATACTAAATACAGATTGCCTACGTTTCAAGTTGCTGGTTTGTTTGGCTTCTTATGAAGTTATATTTTGCTTAATCAATGTGGACATTCTTTTGGGGTGGTTCGTCTCAATCTGAAGGTTTTTTTAGCATGGACTAATCTATAAAATAACATGTCTAAGGAATATAACAGGACATAGCTTCGGCCTTGGATTGTAATACTATTGGAGTTACTAATGATACTTTTACAAGTGCCACACTATATTTGTGCTCGTAGGATTCTCTTGATCGGCCACAACATCTGGACAGTTAAAAGGAGTTATTCGTGCAAAGGAGGAACTTTTCTAAAGTTTAGGAATATATATATATCTTTGATGAATTGTGAATTTGATATATATCCATGAGTATTTGCAAATATTTATGAAATTATTTATAAATAAAAATATAAAAAGAAAATAGAATTAATGAAAAGAAATTATATGAATAAAAGATTGATTAAGTAATGTCACATATCGAATACTTGCGTTACGGGTAGTTCAATATCCACTCACGCCATATTTAATTCGTTTTATCCACAGATGTACATAATTTTTCATCCCTATTTGTGAGAAAGAAAAAAATACTAGGAAGATAGGAAATAAATGCTTTCGTCTAAAACTTTTACATAACTCTTTAAAAATGATTAATTTGCTGCATTTAGAATAATGATAATAATAATGCACAGAGAAGACAAGGGATAAGATTATTGGGTGGTAGAATGAAGTGGATAAGGACGAACAAGGGCTCCCACGAAAAAAGAACAAAGGGGCATGAATTTTAGGAAACTCAAAAATAGAAAGAAAGAAAGAAAAGGGAAGAGAAGGAAAAACGTGGAAGAATGGGAGATAGGGGGAGAGGAGTGAAGCATGGTTGGTCAAAGAAAGCTCAAAGGGAAAATAAGCATTTGTTTACCGTCCAACAAGAACAGCAACAGGTCATGTTCAGGTCCCCCACATGCTTAACTGTTATAACCACACGAGTGATTCAGACACTGTCCATCACATACAATTGTGACCCTCTTCAAACCTAACTTCCACAAACATTTATGCCGAGGCACCGCCGCATTATCATTCAGCATGTTTCAATAATCCATTTTGAAAAGACCATCCCATCCCTATTTAACAACCACCTTGACTTGTTCGATATATATATACACACACTTTGCAATATTATGTATCCACAATTTGTAGAAACCGCATACCAATAATGGGTTTGACTAATGTTAATCCCTCACTCAATTTTTGCATAATTCGTTTCATGATCCAAGACTAAGCACCCGGCAAGCAGCAATTTTGGTTTGACTTGGCTTCTCTAAGTACCACTCACTCATAATTGTTAAAAAGATTTTATCAAGATACCCCCCTTTATTTTTTTCCTTTCACCTTTTTCCTTTTAAAATATTGTGGCTGATGTATGTAATTGAAAGAGACCTCATCTACTTTCTCGTCGGTAGAAAAGGGAGGGAAAAGAGAATAGAGGCAACAGCTGCATGTGGAGAATTAAAATAGGTAACTGATGTGAGCTATAGAAAACTTTAAAGATCACTTGAGAGGGCAATTGATGTTAGAAAAAAAAAACTTGGTGGGGCCCGACCAAGTAGGAGATAACATGTGTATATATAGTATATGGTGCATTATTTATACTATTAGATGGTGGCAAACATATACCAAGTAAGATGGCCCAATACGTAGAAACCAATATGAGTGAAAGTGCTGCATATGCATCTTTCATTCTTTGACCCATCTACTGGCCTGCAAAAAACACTAATTAAATGATCCATGCTGATGAGGCAGTCTCTTTTGGTTCATATGATTGTTCCTTCTCGCCCTGTGGGCATGGAGGGATGTGTCACCGTTTTGCATTTTGAGTTTTGTGGTTGTCATCACTCAATAATTGTTCGTTTTTAAAATTTCCCTACTTTTAATCAATTTTGTTGTTTGTTGATATGAAATGGGTCAGCCAAATAGACATTAAGATTGTCAATACTAATGCGAATTCTAGGAATGAACTGAACATATGCTCTCGTCATTTAATTATATTCTAATCCTCATTTCTAATGGCCTGAGTGCCCGACCAACTAGGGAGGGGTTAGGCCAGAATAACTGATCAAATACGTTATCAATTTTTTAGTTAAATGATCTAAAATACTTTTGACGAATTGAAAATTTTGAACAGTCTTCGGCAGAGAATGCTTTGGTCATTTGAGTAAATTGCAGCACTATAGAATGGAGTATGCCATGGGAAATTGATGGTGCATCCTGCACTTGCCAGACTGTTCAGGTTTAAATTTGAGGCAATATTATTTAAAATAATAAAAGGGGGGGGGGGGTTGTGAGGGTAGAGAGAGAGAGAGAGGGAGAGGGAGGAAATTGCAGGTTTCCTCTGCCAGAGGATCCCATGAACTCGAGATTCCTGGAAAGTCCAATAGTATACTAATATTCTGTAGCTGGCTGGTACAATCAAAGTTATCACCGAGTTAATATTAAAAGAATGAACCAATGGAGATTTTGATTCTTGCCTTGACCCACTAGTGATCTGTGTGCCGCTTCATTTAGAGGATACTTTCGTCATTAGATATAATATATAACATTAATTAAAATTACACGAATGAGCTTGGGAATGGGTCACAGAAAATGAGATAATCATCTGAAATAAACGCAGATGATTTTGGCAGGGAAGATAGAAGCGGCAGAGAAGAGAGAAAACTAGGCCTAGAAAAAGGAAAAGAGGCATGCAGAAGCAAGGCAATCTGTACCACAATAATTACGAGGGAATAACCATTAAAAGTGAAACTTTTCAAGGAGAATAGCATTAGGAAGATCTTGACATTAAAGTGGGTGATCCTTTTTGTTTACTATAATTTTATTTTATTATTAGTATTCACTTTCTGATGACTCTGCTTGGTCTGACACAAAAGAGGATTCGGCTGATATTGCAGTAATTTTGTTATGCACACACAAGCGTTGCAGTTACAGTTCCATCCACTTTGATGCTGTGTATCACTCAACTCTTGAATGTATTCCACACAAGGCAAGCTTCTTTATCCGTGCTAATGCAATGCAGATAGCCGCGGATTCTCCATTCCTGGTCACTTGTCTGTCATACCAATTCTATATCAAAGCTGGCTCCATGGCCCAGACAGAGGGCTACCATCATTCTTAATTTGACAACGATGGCTCATACCAATCCCATTCATCAAAATCACCGGTCCAAGCATATACCACATTCTTTTTTTCTATTAAACCATAAAAGATTCTAATTTATTACCGGCAAGCTACTTATATCAAAACATAAATAAATACACATTAAGCTTTTTGATTCCAACCCAGAAAAATTACAACAGATTCCAACCCAACCCAAAAGAAAGCCAAAAAAAAAAAAACAAGGTTTACAAAAAAGAAAAGAGAAAATCCTAAGCCAAAATAGGTAAATTAACAGAGAAAGAGAAAGCTAAGGGTTGGAGAGAGACATAAGTTGGGACAGGAAAATGGACAATGGTGGGTCTCGGTCTCATGCAATCAGTGCTCACAGCTCAGCATAGCGCATTTACACACTGCCCTCTCATCCCCACAAGTTTCCTTTCTTTTTTCTTTTCCATTTTTCGGCGGGCATGAATTGAAATTAATTTAAAATTAAAAAAAAAAGGAGCAGGTGCGCGAATCGGCGAGTTGACTCAGTGCGCAACCACCGATTTGCTGGCGAGTTGCCACGCAGATGTGGCAATCAAAGGCCTAGTGTGCCAACCCAGCATGAGACAGCCATTGTTCTCTTCCACCCTATACCCTTCCCCACCCGCAAACAGCGCCAACAACGTGCTCGCTTGCTTAAACGCGTTAGACCCTAAATGAACCGGAGAAAACCCGGCCGAACTGAACCGGGTCCGCCACTGGTTCAGCGTCTCGTGACGCTCCACGCGCTCCAATCCCTCGCACGCCACCACGTTACAGATTTGCTTCCCTAAGTACATCTCCGACATCACCTTGTCCTGCGTGCTCACCGACGACCCTTCTAGCGAGTCGAACAGAGTCGAGTAATAGTGCAGCGACTCAGTGAACCGATCCAGAAAACCCGGTCCGTTGTGGTTCGCCTCCTGCTCCGCCACAGTGAGAATCTCCGGCCGAATCTGCCGGACCATCGACAGAACCTTCTCCACGGCGCCTGGGCGAGCGAGAAGTTTGTGAAACTCGAAAACGGAGTTAACGGCGACCGACTCGGCGTCGCTAGGTCTGACTTCGAGCATGGAAGCGTCGAGATCGGCGAGGCTGTTGGCGACGAAGCTTCGGTATTCGAACTGCACGTGAATGGCTTCCGCCAACTGAGCGAGCTTCCGTCCAACTTCTTGGAGGTGGTCGGAGTTATCGGCGGCGGGCGGTCCGATTCCGGTTAGCCGGAAAGCGGGAGGACCGCCGGGACGAACAGCGAGAGCCTGCATCAACGCCGGCCATTGCATCCCTTGGTTGATTCCAAAATCGATGACGTGGACGCGGTTCTTCCCTTGGAACGCTTCGAGAATGGCCTGGTTCGCGGTGAAGTGCGCAAACTTCAGGTAAGGACAAGTCTCGTAGAAGTGAATCTGAAGGTTATCGGCGAAAGAATGCTGAAGCGGATTCTCCGGGTAAACACGATAGATTCGCCGCGCCAGCGCTTCTGCGAAGTAGGTGGCGACCTTGCGCATCGCTCCGACCTGCGACACGGCGAGGAAGCCGATCTGCTTCACCAGCGCCTCCGCCACGGCGAGGTTGTTTTTCTCGACGGCCTCCGCGCACGCCGTGATGCTGTGCACAAGCCGGATCCCGTTCTCCTGCGAGTCAACGACCACCACCGCGCGAGTTGACTCAGTTGTTTTGAGACGCTTAGGGTTTGGCGCGGGAGAGTCGGTGCTGGCTGTGCTGCTGGAAGCGTAGATTGCTTTCCCTGGAATAACCTTTAGATCGTAATCGGAAGAGGAGGAATCTTCGAAGGGCCTGTTTGGTTGGTCGATTAAGACAGAGGAAGGAGGTAAGGGATCGATAGTGCAGAGCATGGTTTCGACCCAGTTTGAGATATCGGAAGGGTTGTAGTGAACGGTTTCCGATGAAAGGTGCGTGATGCCATCTTGGACGCTTCCTATGGCTTCTTCGAGCTGTTCAATCTTCTGCGCCACTTCCGCCATGTCAGATGACCTCACCTTGTAGCCCACCATCGCCAGAAGCTCGTCCATCACCTCTTCCTCCTCCCAAACGCCGCAGCTCGATGTTGCCGTCGATGCGTTTGAACAGAGATGCTCGTGCTCCCTTTTCATCTCCCTCTCTTTGTTAAGTGAGTCAGTAATTGGCTCTCTCTCTTCTTCTCTTCTCTTTTCTCTCCTTACCACTACTCCAACTCATTCACACACACAGACAGAGACACACACACACACACACACCAAATATCTATTATTATATATAAAATTATAAAATATGTATGTGTCCAAAGTACATAGTTATTATTATTATAAATTGATTATAATAATGTATTTATTATCTTCTTTCTTTTTAAAAAGGCGAGAGGGGAACTCAAAAATATATTTATGAAAACGAAAAAAGCAGAAAACGCTCGTGACCGGGCTCGACTCCCCATGAAGCACCAGCCAAGCTCTAACAGATAAGATCCAAAATATGCATTTTTGTGTTTTTACTTTGTTTCCATTTTGGCTTTTCTCCCACTGCAACTCCATTAGTTTTTAAATTATTGCTCCTTGTAACATTTTTTTTACACGCCACGCCTCTTGTTTTAAAGGTTAAATTTCTTAAATAATATCTAGTAAAATTAAATATATGCTCTTGCGTTGACAATTTATTGATTTTTTACTTATTTTGTAAAGTATTGCTATAATAATGTACCTGATATGGAAAAGGGTACAATATAGGGAAATAGATGATAGATAGGACTTTGGGAGTTCACACCATTGCCATGAGGGCTTCATTTATTTTATATTTTGATTTTCCCCCTTTGCCACTTTATTACTGCCACCAAAGGTGCAAATTAAGTACAAGCATTGCAGCTAAATTTAATTATCTGGCGTCTACGTTGCTCTATCTATCTATTGCTAGGTTTCGGAATAGCCCTTCTTACAGGTGAGTGTGGCTACAAGCTAAGAACCATCGGTACCTGCATTCACTGCTGATTAACATTCGCTTCATATGTTTAGGGAAATCAAACATATTCAGGTCTCAGAATCAGACGGTGTTCCTTAGAAACCTTGAAATACACCTGTGCCTTCCAAGTTATTCAATATTTATTCTTATTCTTTTCTAATTTATGTAATATTGTACATAAATAAAAAATTATATATCATATTTTTATCAAAATTATATCAGTATATTATAACTTTTATATTTTTTAATTAAAACTTATCGTATATACAATGTCGTACAAGTTTTAGAAAGTTATCATTATAAACAAGTGCGTCATAGTTAAATAACTATCAATCTCATTTACCTGCTTTTTTTTTTTTTAAATTATATCAAGTATCTTTAATTATTGGTTAAAAGTAAGAAAAATATTAAAAGAAATGACAATGTGCTTTTTTTATGAATTTAAATCAATCTTAAAATAATTTTTAAATAGTTTTATTTATTAATTATTTAATTAATGTTTTTGAAATTTTTGTTAAGAGGATTTCTTTTAAAACAGTAAATATTTTATATAAATTATGATAAGAGTTTCGATGAAATTAACACTTTCTTTACTTTTTAAAGTGATAAATATTTTAAATAAAATTTTTTTTAAGAAGTGGTAAATAATTTGAAGAGGAGAAAAATATAAGTTGAAGGCTTTTGCATCAAAATTATAGAAGTGTAAAATTTATTTTCTTTTGTCAATATTATATATATTTTTATCTGGTTTAATAAATAGATCTGACTCGAATCATACACATTAAAGTAGTGAGTGGGTCTACTATTATAAGTTTTTTTGCATATACAAAAATTTAAACTTAAAATTTTACTTAAATAATACCAAATTGTTTAAAATTCAGATTAACTTTCGTTAACAAAAATATAATATATTTTAACAACTTTATAAATTAGTATACATCTATATATATTTTACTATATTCTATAATTTATTTAGTAAAAAGTGCTAAAAACACAATTTCTAATATATTTTTAGTCATTGACCGAATTCTATTGGAAATTATAAAGGTATTGTAGTTAATCAATAAATTAGGAATAAAAAAATATCAAATTAAGTGTGAAATAGGTATAATTTTTAATAAAATATAATTAATGATTAAAAATGTAATAACAATTATGTTGCAAACATTTTTTTTTATTTAGAATTAAACTTTCAATTGCATGATCTTCGTTGTCTAAACAAATTCTTTTACACTTTAAATTAAAAAATTATCACTTTTAACATTTAAAATTAAATAAGAATATATAAAAATACATCAGTTTTTAATAAAATTTCATTATTATTAATTGCTTAAACTTAATTCCCAATAATTAAAGTAAAATTTAACGATAACAATGGTACAAGTCCTAAATGTGTAAAATGTTAAAAATGATGAAATTGCTCCCCATACAATTCCTATTTTTAATTGTAGGTGATCATTGTGCTTCTACTACCGTATCAAGTACCGTATCAAGTGTTCATTTTTAATTGATATTTGTTTTTTGAACGATAAAAATGGTAATAACTTTAAATTCAGATAACACATTTATTTATTTAGTTTTTAAAAATGTTTAATAAATGTGCAGCAACAGTTGTATGCATGGGAAAAGCATCTTAACGAAGAAAAATTATTATTTATTGTACTGTAAGAAAGAAAAAAGTTTGGATTCCACCGATAAAAGTGACCTCAAATTAAATTATTCCTACTCATTAAAAATAACTTGTACAAATTTAAGCTATTGGAGGTGATTTTCAAGAGGGGAAATTAGCAATTTTTTTTTAAGTGACTTATTAAATTCATACGGATCAATAACAGAGTTCGAAACACCACTTTTAATGAATTTTTCATTTTATCTTCCATCAACAATATATGAAATAAAATATCATTTTATTACATTATAATTGTAGTTGAAGCTTAAAAAAAAGCATTTTATATAATTTTATCTTTCATCTAGTTGATGGTATAGTTTGTTAGCTGAACATTCTGTTAAATAAAAATATGGCTGTTTAATAAGGTGGTTTAAATAGGTACTTATTGATAAAAATAAAAATAAAATAAAATAAAATAATTTATTTGAATGAATAAAATATAAAAAATATTCTGCTTATTTGGATGAACAGCCCTCATACCGTGTTGTTCATTTACCGGCTCCGTTGAGAAGAAAAATAAGTTGCGGCTCCACTCTTATTTTCTTACCGACTGAAAAATTAAAGCATCCAAATAATTGAAAATAATTTATTCTGCACAAAATTATTCTTTTCTCTTCTAAATTTAACTCTGAAATTAAAAAAAACAGAAATAAAAGAATAAAAAATAAAATAATATAATATTTAGATAGTAAAAATACAATAGAGAGAAGCAAAAAGTTATTAGTTTAATAAATAACAAAAATTGAAAAAAATAAGTACATTGTATACAAATTTTTTTATAATAACAATACAAAGTCAAATTTAATAAAAAAACTTAAAATTTTGAATATAATATTTTTTTAGTATTCTTATTTTATATATTCTATATTATTTTTAAAATTAAATAACATTAAACTAAAAAAAAAAATCATCACCCTTTTTTAGTATTCACTCCACGAGCGAGCAGAAGGGGTGTAAAAAATAAGTGACAACTTTGCTTATTTTATTTTTTTTCTTTTGAATTTTGTTATTGTAAGTTTTTAGAATTGAGAATAAATAGTTAATAATAATAATTTTTTTAATCTGCCAACAAGAATTTCATTATTTCATAAAATATTTATCTTTTTTTATTATTTTAATGCATTATAACAGGAGGTTAATATAAGAAAAAAAGACTGAATTAAAAAGTAAAAAATAAAAATAACTTTAAATATAAAAGATGAAAAATACTAATTTCATCAATAAAATACTTTTTACAATAATAAACGGCGCAAAAACACACAATAGTTGAATATCGTGGGTTTCATTGATTGCTGTGGAATGTCAAAAGTGATTACTTTGTCTCATTTAAGTGGTTACAAACAAGTAATTTATATTACTACACCTGAGTTAATTAACTAATAGAAATTGTTTTATAAAAAATAAAATATAAAATTTAAATATTTATAATTATTTATTAAGGTAGTATTCATTAAATTAAACTTGGTTTAAATTAATATCAATCTTTACATGGTGTTCTATTACCTAACTTTTATGCAATAAATAGTTATAAACTTTACCTTTTATTTTAGAAATACATTTATTGTATTTTATTTTAAATATTTATTTATTTTTCTTGTTGTAATATTAATAGTAAAAAGTTTAAAAATAAAGTGACAATATAGAATGAAAAAATGTAATATACTTTTTTAAATTTGATAATTAGTAAAGGACTTTATAGTTTAATTATAATTTTTTAAAATTATTTTATCAATTATAAATGTGTAGATGTACAACATTTTATTTATACTACAGATTATGTTCACGTGACAACGAAATACTTTGGCAAAATTAAATTTAATAATTAAAATATAAAGTTTATATAGCTCTGTAAAAGTAAAATCCTTGGTGTCGATTATACCCAATATCCATTGACTTTGATTATAGGAAGAAGCTACAAAAACAAAGTAGTCCTGTAACAGTACAGTACTAACTTGGATTGAAAGTTTAGCTCATTAAATTCTCTCATTTTCATTTAATCTAACCCATTTTTTTAACATATTTTTTATTATTAATTAAAATCTATTAAAGAATATAAAAATTACATAAACTATATTTTTCTACTCTTAAATTAATATTTATTTTAATAAATTTTAACTAATGATAAAAAAGTATATTAAAAAACATATGATGCTAACATTCTTCCATCCTCCATCTACACAAAAAGTCATAATTTAAGGAAAATGATGAGATTAACGTGCAACTAAGTCAAAAGAAGTGATAATTAACGGACACTATCTCCCTCCAACTTCACTTCACTCCACTCCTTGCAGAAGGCAAAGAAGAAGCGCGTGAGAAATGGGCACGTGGAGTGAGATTTTTGTAGAAGATTTAATCAAAATGTCAGCTCTGCCCCACATGATGGAGACCATTTGACCAAAACGGCCCCGCCGTCCACGTCAGTCCCCATCCTCCACCGTCTATCTCCGTCAATTTTAACCTAACGTCGTCACTTCTTTTGAATTCACTCAAGACCAATTTTATCAATACAAGTTTTAACTATATTGATGATATTCTTAAGACACTTTCACTTGAATATCATCGTATATCACACTATAAAAAATAAAATCAGGGCATCATATTCTTTAATATATTTATTGTTATTAATTAAAATTTAGAAAAATAGTTAAACTCGCATCGTTATTCAATG